CACCAGGGTCAGACGTCTGGTGCCCCGGCGTTCTGACGGATTTGCTGTCCGGCTCGCCCGTGCATACGAGGCACTGGAAGATCCCATGTCTGGGTCAACGTCACCTCCTTGCTTTTGAACACTTACAGAGGTTTGCTCCAGGCAATACGTTATCTGATTTCTTGACAGCTGCGCCCATGGGGATTGATTGTGAGTCACAGAAAATGAAATTCTGAGAGTGTCGATGTCTTCTCCATTTATCATGGTTTGGCTTTTATTGGTTCAACTTTTAGCTGTGTGAAGACTCCATGTTGTGGATTACCCTAGTTTGTTCAGTCTGCTTTAGCTGAACATTTAAGCTACTTCCGTTCTTTTGCTTTGCAAAGAATCCTGCCCTGTGTAGAAATATTGATGTGAATGCATTTCAAAGACCAGACTGTTATGCAACATGGAGGTTGGTCACATTGTACCACAAAATTACATAACTGTCAGATGACATAGCTACATCACTGCCAGTGCATCCGCGAGAATCGTGATGCAGTGTAATTGACACATGGCCCTAACCACCGCTCCCTCCTCACTTCTTACTGCCAGCAGCACATGGTTAATGTGTGAAAAAGTCTCACACTCGACTTCACTGAGGCTATAAATGCAAAATACTGCATAACCAATACGATAGGCTATAAGACCCATTTTGGATAAAAACCAAAAGATAGTCTGTGAGGAATAGAGGGGTGTGTGCGTGTGTGTGTGTGTGTGTGCGTGTGTGTGTACATGTTATGTACACACTATCTGTCATCTTGTCATACTGTGATGGCTTGCATGTAGCCGTGATGCTGGAAGCTCTCCTTGATGACATCGCAGGTCAATGAGAAAGAGTCAGACCCTCAGCAAGAGGAACTGACACAGTGCTACAGCAATGGACGTAAACACAACAACAAAACTGAAAGGATGGCGCGAGGCCGGGCAGGATTTCAGTCTGTTGATCATACGGTCACTATGAGACAGAACCTACTCACCCACACCTAAGAACAAACAGCGTGTGTGTGTGTGTGTGTGTGTGTGTGTGTGTGTGTGTGTGTTTCTTGCTCATTTTGCCAGTGTATCATCGGGATAGGATCTCAGAAGTAGAATTGCTGGATATTGCCGAATCCCATCTCCATAGGGAGGTGCCCCTTTGCGTTTCTGCTAACGTGACACGAGAATGCCTGCTTCCCTGTAGCCGTGTGTGTCATCTAAGTTGGGTTGGTACTGATTTGATAGATGAGAAATCATATTTTTATATACATTTCTCTCACTAAGAATGAGGTTGAGCATCTTTCCAAATGTCCAAGTGGTATGCATTTAGGAATTTCTCTTCTAATCTCTGCCAGGTAGCTATCCGGTGTCACCAAGTTAGCTCCCACTCAGGGCACGCTGCCCTCCGGGAGAGCAGGACTCCTCCCAAGGACGCAGTAGGCTGTCGTCTTCTCAAGAGCAGATCCCCAGGTCTGCTCGCCCGCATAGCAGTGTCTGTGGGGCTCAAACCACAGACTTTTCCATTTGCAGCCATGCCCTTAACCACACACGCCGCCAGGGTTCCTGGCCCAGCAACGCCCACCCTTGCCTTGAGTGTGAAAATGAACAGTAGAGAGTGGAGGACTGGGTGGATAGAGAGGCTATTGGGTAACCACAGAAACAAGAGGAAAAGACTAAATAGCCAACGGAGTCACGGGAAGGCAGAGAAAGAAAACAAATAACAACCACTAAGGGAATTACATCCCCGGCACCACCACCCCCAGCCCGCACCTGACGTGTCACAGATCATTTTGTTGATGCATAGCTTGAATAGAGAGTCACCTAAACAGGCAATGGTGATGATATCACCTTTGGCTTCCTGGGAATGAAGTGGGGAGATCACAGTCCAGCAGAGAGGCTGGGACACCAGGGCTGAACTGAAGCTAAGAAAGATGCCCCCGTCACTGCTGAAATTGGTTCCCAAGGGGACAGCAATGGGGCTGGGTGCTCCCTGCACCTCCAAGGTCTTGCATGTGCATTAGAGACTTGAGAGTACATCATTTTCCCTGGTTTCAGTGACAGGTCTTACAAACTGGGGTTACCCAGAAGTGACAATAACCATATGCAATTTACTCGCTCCGTGTGTGATGTAAGTGCAGTGTAATTACCTGGTTTCTCCAAGCCTCCATTACTGGAAATGGGGTAATAAATTCCACCTGTAAAATGAGGATAATAATAGCATCTGCCTCTGATTCTTGCAAGGGTCACCAGGACCATCCACGTGGAACTCTGCCACGTAGTCAGCTCTCAGTCTGCCTGGGCTCATGCCTGTCAGCGCTCCTACTATGTGCAGGCAGCCAGAGGTCTCCGGGGAGTCTCCGTTCTAAGTTTTGCTGATTCTGTGTTTTTAACCTCATCTCTTCATCAACAGGGCCCCAGAGTTCTCCTCAGTAAAAGGGAAATCACAAGGAACTTCATAAGAGTGTGTGTCATGCTGGAGAACTGCCTCTGTCTCCTGCATGGCCAAACCATGCACAACAGAACAAAACAGGGTCCAGCGCTGCACGATCCCTGGGGTCAGACTGCGGTGTCCGCAGCATTTCCGTTGGCTGATGTTCAGAAGTAGATCGCATGGCCTCTGTTTGGAGCCCTGAGTCTGGGAGCTCTCCTGAAACCTGTTCTGCACCGTAGTAACACACCACTCTCCCCTGACGGACACGTGGTGGGTCATCATGAGGCGCAGAGGCCTGGACCTGAGCCCAGCTCTCCTGCATGGAAGGCACTGAGCCAACAATGCCCCATGGGTTTGGTTAAAGGGGAAGGGAGGGGAGAAAGGGAGAACTGATCACAAGATGTACATATAACCCCCTCCCAGGGGATGGACAACAGAAAAGTGGGTGAAGGGAGACAACGATCAGTGTAAGACATAAAAAAATAATAATTTGTAAATTATCAAGGGTTCATGAGGGAGGGAGGGTGGGGGAGGAAAGGGGAAAAACAGAGGAGCTGATACCAAGGGCTCAAGTAGAAAGAAAATGTTTTGAAAACAACGGTGGCAACAAATGTACAAATATGCTTGACACAATGGATGGATGGATGGATCGGGATAAGAGCTGTATGAGCCCCCAAAACTACCATTGATTGGGTCAATTCCGACTCATAGTAACCTATACAGTGTTTCGGGGGTAGATCTTTCCGGAAGCAGAGAGCCTCATCTCTGTCTCAGCAAACGTGTGAGTGGCAGTCCACGGCCTACCTGAAAGCACCTCCAGGGCTCCTCCAGGGCTAGGTGAGTCTATGATCAAAAATAACCCAAACCCGTACTCGCTTAAAGGACAGGAGTTTATAGATCACGCAAGCGACTGGAGCCACATGCTGAGCATGATCTTTTAAAAAAAATTTTTTTTAATTTTATCATTTTTTTTCATTTATATGAATTTATTTCTCTTCTTTTGATACATTTCAGATCAGACACTGTATTATTTTGCATAACATATTTGAAAGATATTTAAATCAGTGTAAAGCAATTTGTTTACAAAATTGCTGTACACTGAGCATGATCTTTCAAGTGCTCCGGTCTATAGAATCGCTGGGAGACCAGGCTGGTGGGACTCCCATCTTGACACTTGCTTCCACGGTCGCAGAGCAGGAAAAGGCAACTGCAGGCCGGGCACTGGCTCCTGAAGTTCCGAGGTGGGTGGGCGTGCCCTCGTCTTATGAGCCAAGGCAGTCGTGTGGCTCTGCATAATGTCTAAATGGGTCGGGCAAGGAAGTCTATAATGTGCGCTGAAGGAGGAGTGAGGGAACAGCGCGTGGAGATCCGGCTGCAGGAAGAGGCAGGAGTAACAGGAAGGACATCGGTAAGAATGAGAAAGCTAGACAGGGGCAAAGAGATGCCAGGGGTCTGACAGGACAGGTTTTGCAAGATCAGAGCCAGCCCTGAGGTACGTCTATGCCATCCAGCACCTACTGGAGTTACCTGCCACGACCCACATTCATTCATCCCTTCACTCAATCACGTAGTCAGCCATTCAGAGTGCCACATACTGTGGTCCATGCTGGCGATATCCCGTTGTGTGAGACAGAAATATGCTTCGTCCCTCCTCCGTGGCTGGTCGCAATGCAAAGTGGTAGGTAGAACCTCTGGTGGCCCTCAAAAGAAGCAAACTGGAACACATGAGCCAGCGATTCCACTCCTAGGTCCACGCCCAAGAGACGTCGGAGCCGCCGCACACACAGACACGTGCCCTGGTGTTCGGTGGGGCGCCATTCACCGTCCATGCAGGTGGGAAACAGCCTGAACACCCACCCCAGGTAAATGCGTCGGCAAAGTGCGGAGTAGACACACTCGGCCAGAAAACCTGCTGCCCTCCGGTCACGCCAACGAATGCAACCTCCACGGGGCTGCGGAGACGGAAACTCCATCTGGGAGCAGACCAGTGCATGCAGTGTGACCCAGAAGGAGACATGAAGTCCTGAGACAGGCTATGGCAAGAGGGAGCTTTGGGGACTTGCGACTGGGTGAAGTGAGGCGGTCACCAAAGGACCAATATGAAGTGCTCCGACTCCTCTATGCGTACCCCCATCTCCGTGGCGCAGAGAGGAACCGTGTGGCAGTGCTCCGGGCTGAGCACCAGGGTTCTGGCCACGCCCCCGGGTGACTCAGGTCCCTGGACGGGCCGGTTTTATGCCTCTCCTGGAAGCCTGACAACTGAGTCAGGAGCAAAGAAGAAACCAGAGGGACCCACGTGTGAGCTGTGACTGCAGCCCTTCTCTGGCCCACAAGAACACGCCGGGTGATGTAACGGGCAGCTCCCCAGAGGCCCCAGTTGACAAAATGGACACATTGCAGTTCATGTCATTCTCCATATAAACAAACAACACCTCCCACCCCCCCACCACCAGTTTTTGCTGGCCGACACGTTTTATCAAGAGGCTGTGTGTGTGTGTGTGTGTGTGTGTGTGTGCGCGTGTGTGGATTTGACAACCTCCAAGAAAATTGCTTCTCTCCCCCCTCCCCCCAGCTCCCTGCGGTGGTCACCTGACCTCTCCCAGTGGCACCGTCCTCTCTCCAGGCTGGCCTGGCTTCTACAAGGATGCTTTGAGCTGTGCCTGGGTGATCGAAGCCCGGCCAGGCTACCCCATCAAAATCACCTTTGACAGGTACTTCTATGACCTCCGGAACCAGGGGCTGGTTTCTAAGCAATGGCATGGCACAGGAGGGAACCAATGTGGGCTGTGGGCCAGATACAACGCTGGTGTGTCAGCAACATCAGAGCACACTCTTGCGGACCGCCCCGGGCAGGGAGAGAGATCACTGGCTTTGCCAGGTGGGGTTGGTTCTGTGTTGGTCGTGGGCTTTGTCTAGGGAACCATGGTGGCATGAGGAGTGGGCTTGGAGCCAAGGAGGCGGCATGAGAGGATACGTGCTTTCAGGTGTTAGAAACATGGCTGTAAAAAAATAAATACATAATAAATAAAAAAGAAGCATGGCTTTACCATGTAAAAAGTATAACTATGAAATGCTTCATTGGGATGGCAGCCTCCCTGACCCCTGGTCCAAACCCTACTCAGATGCCCACTTCTTGCACCGCCACCCCACCACCACCCCGGTTATGCCTACTGGGTGGTGACTGCAGACCCCAGACATGTGCATACACTACTTCAGGATAGAGCATTCATGGCTGACAGTAACAGCTGATCACATACACGTGCAAAGATAAATATTAGTATTTACCACACAGTAAATACTTTAGATTGTGTTGACCACTTTTGAGTCCCTGCTGAAAATTCGTTTTTCCCCCCAAACCTTTAAAAATGGGGGAGGGTGGCAGGGGGCACCATTCTTAACTCAGAGGTCATTCCAAACAAAAAGCTATAGAGGAGAGGTTTGGCCCTGGCCTGGAACATTCCAACACCGCGAGGCTCGTTCTTGTGATGGTGCTTCTGCATCTAAAGAGGGGCCGAGGCAGGGGTGTTCGACAGCAGAAAGAGGAGGGGCATAGCGAAAGCAGCAATGGCCCTGATGTCTTGCTAGTTAATCGAGCCATGCTGAGTAAGAAACATCCCCAGCCCACCACAATTAAGTGGCTCTTCTGAAGCCCTGGGTCTGGTGGGGCCGTTGGGCCTCTGGAGAGCCATCAGTGCTGATTTCCTCAAGGCGTCTTCTCATGCATCTTTTGGCAGGTTTAAAACCGAGGTCAACTATGACACCCTTGAGGTGCGAGATGGACGGACCTACTCGGCGCCCCTGATCGGGGTTTACCACGGGACCCAGGTCCCTCAGTTCCTCATCAGCACCAGCAACTACCTCTACCTCCTCTTCTCGACAGACAAGAGTCACTCCGACATCGGCTTCCAGCTACGCTATGAGAGTGAGTCTCAGAGGGCCCAAGGGGGCAGGCAGCAGGGCTGGCCCAGAGTGACTCCTCCAGGATGTCCCCAACTCGGCGCCGTCCCCTGCTGATCTCTGTGCAGCCACGCTTCTGGAGGAGGTGCACCCTCAGGGGAGGGAGCGTCACAGTCACTCTCAGCCTTTGGGAAACAATGGTGGCTGGTGGCCCGTGGGCCTGTCCTCTGGTACACACCGTGTGGACGCTTCTGTGGACACATGGTTGTGTGCTGCTGTGTGGACCCTTGGGGGAGAAAGTGCCAGATGGACGGGGGAGATGGAATCTCCCTGCTCACTTACCCAGTGTCCCATCATCACCCTCCCCCGCCAAGTTCACCCTCAGTGTTGGGACTTGAAGGGGTAGAGTCCCCGTAATGCTTTGCAGACAAGCGCCGAAGGCCATTTCCTTGCACGTTCGAATCCCTCCACTGTAGCACCTGGCAGAGAGGTCTCTAAGCACCCTCCCAGCTAAACCGAGCAACCCACTTGATGAGTGGGTAGCCTTCGGCAGCTCCAGCCTTTTGGTCAACCAGGGACACACGCCTCCGTGGCTTTGGTGAGTCAGCCGGGTCCCTCTGTTCCCCTGTGGACTCTCCTCTCCAGCCATCACGCTGCAGTCCGACCACTGCCTGGACCCGGGGATCCCTGTCAACGGGCAGCGCCATGGGAATGATTTCTACGTCGGCGCCCTGGTGACCTTCAGCTGCGACTCGGGCTACACGCTCAGCGATGGGGAGCCCCTGGAGTGTGAACCCAACTTCCAGTGGAGCCGGGCCCTGCCCAGCTGTGAAGGTGAGGCACGCCAGCAAGGGCGCTGAGGAGAAAGGCCAGGAGCGGGAAGGGCCACTAGCTCGCCCACCTCCTCCGCTCGTAAGAAGGGAGGAGGGGAGGGGGGAGGCAGGATCTGTGGAGGAGGGGTGGGGTGCCCTGGCCTGGCCGTCACTGCTCTCTTCCCTCCTCCCCAGCGCTCTGTGGGGGCTTCATTCAAGGCTCCAGTGGAACAATCTTATCACCTGGCTTCCCTGACTTCTACCCTAACAACTTGAACTGCACCTGGGTCATTGAAACGTCCCACGGCAAGGGTGAGTGAGTGGCTGGCCCCCACCCCGGTTTGGGATGTGACCCGGTCAGGGCCCCATGTCAAAGCCACGCCAATGTGACCTCTGGACCCAATCTGAATTCTTCCACCCATGGGAAAATTGCCAATAGCTTACCATGCCTTCGAACCACCAAATTGATGAATCTTGGAGTTTCCATGTGGGGAGTGACCTGAGCCACTGCTGTTAGGTGCCCTCAAGCAGGTTCCGGCTCTTAGGAACCGCATGGACACTGCCCAGTCCGGCACCCTCCTTTCAACCACGGCCACGTGTGAGTCCGTGGTGGTAGTCCCTGTGTCTGTCCATCGCTTCGAAGGTCTTCCAAACACAATGTCCTTCTATGGGGGCTGGTCTCTCCTGACAACCTGTGCCAAGTACAAGAGGGCCTCAAAATGTCTTGGAAAACTTGAACAGAAAGATAACGGAGTTTTCCCACATCCTTTCTGAGCCCCTTCATGTCCTAGACACCGTCACCCCCTGCGCCCCTGTAAGGAGCCCTGTGGTGTGGGGCCACTGTTCCTAGCCTCACAGGTGTCCCTATTCCTCACCAGGCTCAACTATTGTCACCGCTAGCCAAAGACAAGTGCTTTCTAGGGGTCCACGTTCAAAATAAAGATTTGGGTTATAAATAAGCGCTAATGAATATCGTCATGCCTGTAACGCGTATTTATTGAAAGCCACCTACGGGGCAGGCACTGCAGCTGCGTGTGAAAAATAATCATGGTCTCTACCCACAGACTCCGATTCCTCAGTTCATCGGCTATCTTGGCTCCTGGCTCTTACCCAGCCCCCCATTTCCACCCCCACTGCACTTGGGCAAATCTACTCATGCCTAGCACCTCGCCCAGAGCGCCTGATTGTGTGTGCTCCCGGTGAAGACCAGCACGTGTGCCTTCAGAATGCACCACTGGTCCTTGGGACACATGCCTTAATGAAGACCTCGGATCTAGTAGAATTAGCTTGTAGAAGAGCCAAGAAAATTAAAACATATAGATATTAAGAAAAAGTAACCCTTCCAGATATTGAAACGTTGTTCAATAATTTTAGGTGTGATACAAGCAGGAGTGAACACACAAATGGGGAGGAGGTGTATAAAGGGCCAAAATTAGATTCTTGTGCTTGTATGCTGTGTGTGTGCACGCACACCCCGGCCTGTGAATCCGTGATTGAGTGTATGATTAAAGTGTCATTTCTGATCTGTTGACAAGAGGATGGATCGTTTAATAAATGGTGTTAAAGCAGCCGGCTTAACCATCTGGAAAGAACGGAGAAACAATCGCATCCATCCCTCATCCACTTAACCACATAAATGCCAACACCAGGCAAGCAGGACCGGTGTACCTCAGGAGGAGCGGAAAAGCCTGTCAGGGGGAATAGCCAAAGCAGAATCCCAACAACAAACAACACCAGAGCGGATTTATGAAAGCTTGGAGTGGATTTATGGTCCCCTCCCCCAAAGCCTATCGAAACACCCAGGCAGAGAGCAAACACACAAAATATTTGCAGCATTTGTAATGGACTAAGGTTTACTATCCTGATACGTCCGGGGCTGTTCAAAACCAGTAAGACAAAGATGCCCGATCCCACAGCCTGTAAAATGACCCAGGCTCCACAGGAGCATGTCACAGTAGAGACAATACAAACGGAAACCACTCATAATGAAGGAAAAGAGAATTCCACCCCGTGAAATGCCCTTGCTCTATCTTCCCGGGTCAGCGAAGGTCAGCGCTGGGTCAAGTGAGACACTGCTGGCATTTGTGTAGCACGATTCACACTTTCCTCTGGGTGATCGGACAATCGGAGCCAAGAGTTTCAAAACTGTCTGTGGCTCAGAACATGGCAGTTCCTCTTCTTAGGACTTGAGGTAAATCAATTAGACGTTAAGATTGAGCTACAAGGCTGCCCCCTGAATATGGTTTATTTTATTGAAAAAAATTAGAAACTATTCAACTGTCCCTCAATCAGGAAGTCTTGCATCACTGTATGGTACAACTATTGAAAGGACCCACAGAAGTAGTTGCAGTGAATTGAGAAGTAGGGGCAGGAATAACTTTATAAAGGAATGTGCGTACATAGTTTTATAGGAGTCCTGGTGGCGTAGTGGTTATGCGTTAGGCTGTGATCCAAATGGTCAGCAGTTTGAAACCACCAGCAGCTCCTCAGGAGAAGACTGGGTTTTCTACTCCAGTTTCGGAAACCCACAGAGGGTCGCTATGAGATTAACAACAGGTTATTGGTTTGAGTCCTTCCCGGGTAGACACAAAAGAAAGGCCTGGCCATCAGCTTCCAAAGAGGTGGGTGGAAAAAGAGCCATTGGAAGCCCTGTAGAGACATGTACATATTAAATATATTTATATATGACAATGGGGAAATAGATCTATGTGCATATATTTATAGGTTTAGTATTAAGGTAACAGATTGACATTGGGCCTCTACTCAAGTACTCCATCAACGCAAAAACACTTTGTTCTATTAACCTGGC